CAGGACAATTTTCAATAGTTTAAAGTTGAATAAGATCATCGCCACCTGTATTTTGATGCTTGCTTTTATTGAGGATGCCTGTTTACATTTACATGTTTAATAATTATCATGGAACTGATTTATGCTGAGGTTATTGTCAGTAGAAACCTCCAAGTCTTATTCACAAGTTTTGATTCTTAGGACTGAGCTGTAGTATTTCTTCTTTCTTAGATCTGATATAACCCTCAAGTTTTCCAAGACCCTTAAAAATTTTCCAGTTCTTCATCCAAATATACAGGCCTCTTTTAATGTACGGAATTTCTATGGGCGACTTCGGTGCTCAAAGCTTTGATAAAAGCAATGATCAGAGGAGGTTTGGAGTCTGAGTTCTGAAGCTTACTACTAGAAGCTTCCCCCAGGTGAGCAGCTTAACATTTGTAAACATGTGTGTATGGTGCTTTAACCAGTTGCCACACCAAATAATTTCTAAATTTCTGAAACTTCTTCATATGGGCTATAATGGAATCATGGGGGAGATAATGATGGCATACAGAAAGATCATGTCATGCAGACTTCCACTATTTCTTGTCTAGTATGTCTGTCATTGAAGCTATGGGGCTATTCTGAATTACATTTATGTGAACATCTGATACAGACTCAGATGATCCCACTATTTTCTTCTCTTACTGGCGTGTTCATCCCTTTAATAAATCACCTTGTAATGTTGCCAGGTTTCACATTTAGTTCTATGATTTTTAATTTAATTTAATTGAACATGGATTCCATGTTCAATCAAGTTTGAAAGTTGTGAACATCTTTGCTTATCTTTGGTCTTACTGCACTATTTTATTCTCACCATGTCTTCAAAGTTTACTGACAGGATTTCAGGTATAGTTTTTCAAATTCCAATGTGTACTTTGTGTAAACTTTATCCAGAAATTAACTTCTTAAAACTAGGGTCCATTTGTTAGTAAATTTTCACTTATCTTTGTATCCAGTATCCTCATCCTATCACTTATAGTGCCACAACTATCTATGTTACAGACATAAAATGTATATACAATGGAAGTTGAAGGGTTTAAGTTTTTCCTTTGTATGTTATCAATACTGCCCCTTAGATCCAAACAAGCATATTGGTTCTTTGATATCTTACTGAAGAAAGCACTGAAGAAAACTTAAAAAAAGAAAAGGTAAAGTTAATTTATTATTCTAATTATTATTATGAGTAAGGGAATAAGTATGTTTAAAGAAAATAATTACACATATGGTTAACTTAAATATTTTTGAACTCTCTTCTTTATTGTTCTGCACCAGTATTTTCCAGTACTCTGCAATTCTTAATCTGGAGTGTGATAGCAGAGTGAGTAAATGTGAACTTTATTAGGTCATCTTTAATCATATAGTTAGAGATAATAATTTTATCAATGTAAGTGTTCTCTTTTGATATATATATATATATATATATATATATATATATATATATATATAAAATACACACACACACACACACACACACACACACACATGGTGCCAAAAAATGTATACTCATTTTAAGAAAGGAAAACTATATTAAAATTACGGTGATAGTAACCACTTTGATCACCTCTTATAATTGTAGAAGTCACATGTGACTTGTATTCATCTTTTGCTATTGGTATATATTGAGTATTATAATTTTAATACGATTTTTTCTTTCTTATAATGGTATACATTTTTTGGATCTATCTATCTATAGATAGATAGATCCAAAAATATATATATACATATATATATATATATATATATATATGTATATATATATATTCGGTAGTACTTATTACCCAAGCACATAAAATAAATAGCTGTAAAGGAAATTATATAGTGCTTCCTGTTTTCACCAGTTGTTTCTCTTTACATAAAAAAATCGGGTCATTTTTAATATTAGTAGTATAATTTCAGTAATCATTTCAGTTAAAAATCAACCATGGAATCCTGTTTGTGTGGTTGACTCTCCTAAATGCTGAATTATTACCAGGGCTATCCCTACATTTCCTTTACATTCCTTCCTTATTTTGTTTTGAAAACGTTGCATATCCTTCCGAATTTCCAGGGTGAAATTGAGCCTGAGATGTCATCTAAAGAGACAATTTCCTGAGTCTGTCTGTTAGGGAACAATCACAGTTTAGCATTACAATTTTATCTTTCTAGTTTCTGTAGTCTTACGAGCATACACTGGATGCTTCTCTGTCACCAGTGAAAATGACGCTTATAACTCTTCCTAGGTAACAGAAGTGGGGACTCAGGATCAGAAATGTCCATTCCTTCAGTTTCAGAGATTAGCTCTGTAATAAATTCTGCTGACTGATACGTTGTCCAGTGTTTTGAAGTAATCTGACATAAGGAGAAAATAAATACCTGCCTACCACCTGGCTTTACCCAAGCAGCATGTTCCGCATCGGTTCACTTTCTTCTTTTTACACTGAAAATACATGAGACGTACTAAGTGGCTGACAGCTTCACCTTTCTATATCTAGGGAAAGTTGGTGTGGTTTCAGAATAGCAAACTTCAGAAGCCATTGAAATCCAGTGTGCATTCCATCATTGGGTTTGTGGAGAATCTAGAGCCCTTAATCTGAGTGCAGTCTCATGGATACAAATACCCCTTGGTGAATGGTTTCTTTTTCTAGAAATGGATTGTATTCCTTGGTGATTCTGACAAATCCCTCTGCGTGTCATTGCATTCAGGAGCAAGTGCCTGTTGACTTCCATCGTGACTGTCCACTGGATATGCTCATAACGGTCTTATCTGGGGAAAACCACCAAGCAAGGCTAGCAAACACACATTTTGTGTTCAAGTGTGTACCCAGGATGGTCATTACTGTTGTCTCAGCAAAAGCTTCAGTAGCAAGCTGGCAAACATTTTATTTCATTCAACCAGAAGAAGCCAAACAAACAGTTAGGCTTCTCTAGCAAAATGTCATAAGGTAAACATTTAACAGGAAACTACCTGACCTTGTAGAGACCTAAAGTTCTTTATAGTCCCTTTATTTTTTCATAACCGTTGTTTCCTCTGTGCTCGCAGGACTTCATCAACACAGAGATATTCAAAATGATTATTTTCAATGATCAAAAATGAATATGAACATATGTCTGGGACTATACAAGAAAAATCTCATATAAATCAGAAGCTGCATGAGAAAGGATATGCAAAACATAATACAGCATTGAGTCCTTATCCTGATGCAGTTGTCTCTGTTCCACTTTTTCCCTAAAAGTTTCAATTTTGGAGATTTCCAAATTCTAATTGACTTCTAACATCTTCCTTAGGAGTGACTACACATTTAACTGAACAATTCTTTCACCATTAGAAACAATCCAATTTGAGTGCTGCTTTCATTGTTCCTGTTGTTTAGTTTAATCATACCAAAACCCCAAACCAAATTAAATCCCTACACATTTCACATCACTCAAGCTAAATAGAGACAGTCAAATATAACTCTACTGTATTCAAAACATTTCCTCCTGGGCCCTTTAAGTTTCTTTCAAATACCGCATGCCAGATCTCCTCAGCCTCTCTGACTATTCTTGAGGCAAGGGAAAAGAGAGGGATGGATAGAAACGAACTAACCTTTGTTATAGTAAAAGTTGACCACAGTGGCACAGATTTTCATTAATCCTCACCCAGACCTCCTGTGTAAGAATTACCTTCCAGATTTTAGACATAAGCCCCCTGAGGGTCAGAGAAGGGAAACAAGTGCTACACAGGTTGAGGTATGAAAGAAAGTTCAAGGCAGGATTTCAGTCCTTGTCTTCTGACCATAAGAGCACCTGTTCCCTCCAGCATACCACCCCTCTGAAGCTTAAGTCGTTTTCTTCCTTTGAACCTCTCTGAATATGAGCATCTGTGGTATCAACTGAGCAGAGCAAGTCATGCTGCTCTCTTAGTGGTTGCAATGACTGAGGGTCTTGTATGATTCTAAGTATATCGGCCAAGTGCTCCTTGGAATAGCCGTTCAATTTAGATAAACACCTACACTTGTTTCCCACACTGTAAATGGTGATGCTCAACGCAGTTAATGAGTGATGCGGGGTGACTGTGTGTGGGGAGAAAGTGCTAAAGTTACCTCAGCTGTTCACACCAATTGTGATACAGTCAATCAGCCCCAGAATCCCTGTTCTCAAAAGCTATGTACATTACAAATCATGTTAATTTATTCTAGGTTAATAAGAGGGAGAAGTGTGTGTGTGTGTGCGTGTGTGTGTGTGTGAGCGAGCGTTTTCCTGGCACAAGCAAAGAGGGGTAGGAAAGGCATTGCAGTTCCTATTCATCTTCACAAATGCAATGCTGACCTCCAAGGGAACGCTCTACCTAATATAAACCCTCCATGTCTTGAGCACTTTGGGGCAAAGCATTAGAGGGCATCACGGAAGCTAAATCTCATGGCTACCTCCGGACTATGGATCACTGATGAATGAGGCAGCAGTTGAATGTTTAGCAGGCTGTGACGACTTTGCACAGAAACAGGAAAATTTATTACCAGCCTGCCACATCAGTGGCTGCCCCGGCTGCTCTCCCTCCTGGCGTCTTCTCCCACTCCATCTGACAGTCAAACCCTTCCTCGCGCCCCAGGGTTCCCTCCCCAGCAGAGAATGACAGTCTAAACTGTCACGGAGTCCTGGCCACCCTATTTGAAGAGCGGAGGTACTAACGATGATGCCTTTGGTCCAGCGTTTTTATTATTATTTTTTGTCATTGTTGTTAATGGCATTGCTTTGCTTGCACATGACCTTGCTCAGGGAGTTAAAGGGTGCTCGTTCTGCGTGCTGTAGAATGCGTGCATTCCCCGAAAGTCTGCACGATGGAGGGAGAAAAAAGAAGGCGGCGGTGGGAAAGGCAGCGGACGGGAGAGCCAGGGAGGAGAGGAAGGAGGAGAGACAGGGAGAGGAGAGGATCAGGCGGACAGGCTGTGCCAGCCAATCAGAGGCGCGCTCGGCAGCTGCAGAAGCCAGAGCCGGGAGCCCGGGGCTCGCAGGAGCGCGGAGGCGAGTCTGGGGCTCTCCGAGGACGGGAGCAGCGTGCCCTGAGCACGGGGGAAGTCCCCGCTTTGCTTCTCATACATTAAGTTCCTTTCCACCAGTTAGGGCAAGTCAGCCAAGGTAAGGCTTCAATAAATGACACTTTACTCTGTAGTGACATTAATTTTTATTTTATTTTATTTATTTAATATTTATTTTTGTACAATTGGGCTGCTGATCCAGTTCTGAGTGGAAACAATATTTGGTTAAATCTTCCTCTTGGATTGGTTCCTCAGGATCTTGTGCAGATGGGAAAGTTGTAGCTAATGTTTCGTAAGCCTTATTGCTAGAATGCATTTATTATTATTATTTTTTTAAATGTTCTTATCCAGGAATGTTGCAATAGAGCCTACGGAATGTGAGTCTCATAATCCGGCCGGTCTCTGTTGATGTTTGTCTGTGGATGTGCTGTTCTCTGCCCTGCCCCTGAGAAGTTGGAAAGAGACTCTCTGCAAGGCGCATTTGAATGATGATGGCATTGGAATAAGCTGTCATGTCTGTCTGTCTGGAAAAGTGAGGGGGAAACCCTGTCGGAACAGAAACAGGGATGTTGAAATTGAAATTTTGATAGTGCTTTTTAATTATTGCCTTTCCAGTACCCTCTAAAATTACATATCTGAGCACTGAAGCTGCAGCAAGGCAAGGCTCATTTTTTTCTTCTTTCATTCTTTTTTTCCCCCCACGAGTCACTCCCATAAATGCTTATTAAAGCTTAATATGAAACTTTTACTTTTAAAGGGCACTCTAAATGATGCATGAACAGGAATTAGGTAGGCTCCTGTGATCAGCAACATACTTTATTTAGTATATGCCCTCATGTTTGTTAACTCTGATTCATTCCCCATTCTTAACTTCCTGAACATGATTTCTTTGAGTCTGGAAATAATTATTTGGTCAGCATGTTCATGTCTTACAAACAAGGTAACATTATACTGTATGCATGTTTATATGCTTCTCTGTGTGTGTGTGTGTGTTGCGTGCACAGACGTGAGACTAGGAAAACCTGTCATATGTAACAGGTGAAAAAAATAGAATTTTATTAGCTAGTTATTAAAGCATTTCTTGATATCAGTCCCTTTTGTCCTTAATTAAATTTTAGATAAATCAATAGTAAATGCCCCTTGCTACTTCCCTGCTGGAAATGAAGAAATACTACAAGAAAAACCTTAGCTAAAATTATTATGGTCTTCCATTTGCTCAGGTGATGGTATCAGTGCTTTGAGCTGAGAAAGACAGATCAGAGAAAGATTGTATCATGCAGCCAAGAAAAAAAAAAGCCAAAAAAAAACCCCAAAACAAACAACAATAACAAAAAAGCAAACTATAGGCTCTGACTGTTTTAGAACCTTCATTTTCCACTCCAGGATCCCCTATAGAAATTTCAAAACGTGGTCTTTCCTTCTGCTGTGATTGTTCTCATTTTAGTGGACCTGTTTTTTCAGAGGAAATATTTAACTCAAAATCAAGAGTTTAAGATCCAGACTAGATATCGTAAGCACCTTGTTGGATGTGGGAGGAGGAAAAAGGAGGGATGTGATACTAGTAGAGAATTAGTTCTGTAGTCTTAACACTCTGGTCCAAGCACCAATTATCATTTCAGTCTCTTTCAAGCTTCCTGTTATGTATGTAATTTCGG